TGATGGGGGAAATACACGTGACTCATCCTGTGGATCTGTTTGTATTGTGTGTGTGTATGGTTTATGAATATGTATATACAATTCTCTCTGGTATACATGATCTCCAAGAGTATGTACACCTTTATGTGTGTATCGGCCGTTTTATCTGGTCGTCGAGATGAACCCTTGAACTCTGCAGTATGCCCAGTGTGAGGGTGGGGGCGGGGGGTGTAACACCCTCCATCCCTCTCACTCTCACTATCACCCGTGCCTCAGAGGTACCCCAGAGGGACCCCAGAGGTACCCCAGTCAGCTCCCAGAGGCTGGGGCCCTTAAGCACAGTGGGCTACGGTTCTCAAGAGCACCACTCCTGCCGTCAGCACCAGGCGATTCAACAGGCCGCTCACACGGGGTGTCACTATAGGACGTCAGCGGTCGCGATCTCAACTTTAGTCACTCAATATATGGTACTTTTCCCTGTAGACTGTCAATCACCTGTGGGGGCGGTAGGTGATTGACAGTTTACAGGAAAACTGTCCCCCCCCCCCCCCACCTCCCCTAGATCTTGTCTTCCACGTATGGACTATTTCGTCTGTCTCACAAGGAATGGGAGAGAGAGAGAGAGAGAGAGAGAGAGAGAGAGAGAGAGAGAGAGGAATGATGAGGGAGTCAGCAAGTGTGAGAGAGGAGAGGAGAAATATGAAAGGGTGAGGGAAGAGCAGGTAGGTGAGAGTTGGCTAGACAGGACATAGATGGAGAAAGGTGGTATTGAAAGGGGAGCAGATAAAGCTAAGAATAACTGGAGAGTGAATAATGAAGAATGTTGGTGGGGGAAGGAGGCAGTATAGGAGGAGGAGGAACAGCAGCAGCAGGAGCAGAAGGCAGGACAGGAGGCAAGACAGGAGGCAGGACAGGAGGCAGGACAGGAGGCAGGACAGGAGGCTGCTGGTGGTAGTATTATTTCTGCTTTGTCATCTAAAGTGAGAAACAAAATCAGTATTAAATTGGTGGCGGCCCCGCTGACACTATAGTGAGGAGAGGACATGGAGGGGTTGAGGTAGGGGGGGGAGGAGGGGGAGGGAGGGGAGGTAGATGGTGGAGAGGGAAAGTGGGAGGGAGAGGGTGTGTATAAGAGGGGAAGGAAAGGTGGGGTGTGTATAAGAGGGGAGGGAAAGGTGGGGTGTGTATAAGAGGGGAGGGAAAGGGAGGTATACATCTCAGTGCCAACAACACAACAAGGTGTCATTACCTCAAGAACGATGGTCGTCTCAATAGCAAGAGATGCCATGCCAACGGTGGCATTGTCACACGCTTGTTCTCCCTGGTTGGAAATACTGCTGCACCTTAACTACTCAACAATTCAAGGCTGGATTAGTTGCTGACCTGGAGAGCAAAGAACACTTCACGACCCGAAGCCACTCCAGAAAACATTAAAATAATTAAGAACGATTAAAAATACTTCGCTGCCAAGTCCCAACAGTTAAATAATTCCTAAAGAATTACCCGACTCCCGCGTATAGCTGCAACTAGTACACCAAGACACTATAATGATCGTAAGAGTCCTCCTCCCTCTCTTAGTAAGACCATAAGACCCTTAGCAGTACCTGCTGTCTAATGTAAGCAGCATTGCACACGCCGCTTATTGACGTTCAAAGTGCATCTTGGTCAATACCTGGATAATGGTGCTTAATCATACCAGCTGTGATACATACGATGGACTGGTGCATGGCGCCAGTAAGTCTTATTGACCTGACCATCGACCAGTAGCACTGATGACGGAACTGTTTACACGGTCGGAGCGGGTCGGCCGAGCGGACAGCACGCTGGACTTGTGATCCTGTGGTCCTGGGTTCGATCCCAGGCGCCGGCGAGAAACATTGGGCAGAGTTTCTTTCACCCTATGCCCCTGTTACCTAGCAGTAAAAAATAGGTACCTGGGTGTTAATCAGCTGTCACGGGCTGCTTCCTGGGGGTGGAGGCCTGGTCGAGGACCGGGCCGCGGGGACACTAAAAAGCCCCGAAATCATCTCAAGATAACCTCAAGATACACTCGGTCAGTTATCAGATACACTTAAGTCAGTTACCAGATATGTTCTCCTTCACGTTGCAGTATCTTAAGAAAAAAAACACCACTAAAACAGACAAGTTTAACATTTAAATAAATAACACTTGAGTTCTTAACATTTGTCTCAGTTCACACTTGTGGTTCAAGTCCTTCAAGACTCACGAGGCATATTGTTGTAAAATATGAAATATGATGGAAAAATAAACACTATATTTTCATTTAATGTCCAATTTATTTGTAAAGTAATGATGTGTAATTCATACCAATTAATGTTGTATGAATTAATGAACTGCGTGACCTCAGAGCAGCAGTATTCCTCAAAAAATGAAACCTGCCTCAGTGCAATGGTACTTGCCTCTCAAGCTCTATAGGCCACCAGAATGTTGAACATAATCTCAATGACTTTATCTCCTTCGGGTTCATCTCCCTGACAACGCTGGTAATGGCAATGATACACTGAAATAACAACAAAATTTAATAGGAAAAAATCACTGTGAAAGTCTTGGGTGCTGGCAACCCATGTTTCACTACATGGAGTAACTATATATTATAATTATCACCTAACTGGCATGAAATGCTTCAAATGCGAACACCTGGGGATAATGTTGTGACCATGTGATGGGATAGGACATCCCTGGACCTGCCAGACACACGCATTACCGACTGCACCATGATGGGACGCCGTGTAGTGGCATCAAATGTCAAAACTATTTTCCTAAACTACGCCACCTCCCGTAGAACCATGGTAGTCCTTGTTGCTCAGGCGTCCAGGGAGGCGGGGTTCGACCCCATTGTATGACCTAAATATTCACGTTGTACGGGTGTTGTCGCATAGCAGGAAACACCCGAGTGTGTCTAGTTTTCATGAACACCTGAGACACATCAGGTAGTGAGGGGGGGGGGGCTCCTGGCGAAGATATATGACGGTATAGGTATATGAAGGGATATGAACATTTACCACTTGATTTTTGTAATAATTTTGGGACATTAGAGGTCGTCTTGAGTCAGCAGCAGCGGGGGTGGCTGGCCTGGACGACCTCCAGCAAGGTTACGGTGGTGTAGCAACAGTCTGGTAAGACCACTTGTGTTCTCCATCCCTGGACGGAGATGGTCACCCTGGAGGGTGTGGTCAGTCATCTTTGTCGGCCTCCTGTACCTTCAGTCTTACTCCTGTGAGTCTCAGTCACATGACTTGGAACCCTGAGACAAGTGTCTGGGAAATCTTCTCCCTATTCCTATCAACTCAGGGTTTTATGTTGCCAATTTTGAGATATATTCATCGAGGTAATCTCTCGAAAGCTTTCCTTTCTTATTTTGTGTTGAGATCAGGTTATAAATTACAAGCACTTCCTCTTGTTCTTAAGTAATGGTCAGTGATTGTTCTTAGCGCCTACAAATGGGCAGTTGACCGGCGTCAGTTCCTGGGTCTTCCTTTTCAGTCCTGAATCATTTTATTGCAGGCGATGAGTCACAATAACGTGGCTAAAGTATGTTGACCAGACCACACACTAGAAGGTGAAGGGACGACTTGACCATTCTCAAGTCGAATCGACTGGAGAATGGTCCAGGACGGACCGAAACGTCGTCGTCCCTTCACCTTCTAGTGTGTGGTCTAGGCAACATTTTATTGCAGTGGCCGGCGACTCTTGCTTATCATACCTACCCGTGATACTCTGAACACAGCTTAGTGCTGGTTCGTGTCTCCTAACTCAGTCTTCCTGTTTGCTATTCTCTATCACTTAAGGACCTTGTTACATAGCTCTAGGTCCGCACGATCTCCAGCAACCAGTAATGTCTAGGGTATCTTCCCCTTCTCGGTTTAATCAATTTTTGTCTTGCCTTTTCTCTAGATGGTTTAAAAATCTTCATTGCCTCTTGTTTCGCTTCGCTCATCTCGAGTTGTGAGGTTTAATTATCTTTCAAGCTTTCCTCGTAGCTAAGCCCTTTAAGCTCAGGGACGAGTCTTTGTGGCAAACCTCTGGAATTTCCATAATTTGTGTTTTTTCAAGGGTGAATGGATTCAAGACTGGGGGTTGTGTGTTCAATTAATGGGTGAACATACATATACTTGTCCTTAAGGCTTCCTCCACGTAGTTCCTGAAGGCATGGCGAATATTTGCCAGCTTTGCAAGTACAGTTTGGTGTTGTATGAGGACACGTGCCTACAGCTTGGTGTTGTATGAGGACACGTGCCTACTGCTTGGTGTTGTATGAGGACACGTGCCTACTGCTTGGTGTTGTATGAGGACACGTGCAAGGAGCACTTTGTGACAGTTCCTCACGTTCCTAGAGAAGAGAAATAGAACATAAAAGCGTACTGAAGTAACAGGAATTAGAGGAGGGGAAAGCAACCAGTTTCCCGTTGTGCTCCCTCCTCCTGCTGGTGCTGCTGGTGCTGCTGCTGCTGCTGCTGCTGCTGCTGCTGCTGCTGCTGGTGCTGCTGCTGCTGCTGCTGCTGCTGCTCCTGCTGCTGCTGCTGCTGCTGCTGCTGCTCCTGCTGCTGGTGCTGCTGCTGCTCCTGCTGCTGGTGCTGCTCCTCCTGCTGCTGCTCCTGCTGCTGCTGCTGCTGCTGCTGCTGCTCCTGCTGCTGGTGCTCCTGCTGCTGGTGCTGCTGGTGATGGCTGAGCCTGTACGGCTGGAACACACTGTATATGTAGCACTGCAGCTGAGCACATGTAAACGTAGACATTATTCATCCCATGTTGATAATATGAAGCGTGTTGATAAGCCGAGCAGCCTCCACGGAACGTGACAGGTCCCCATCATCACCCGGACGAAGGTTCGATCCTACCGTCCTGCTCCCCCCAAAACAATTCTTAATCTGTACCTGCGTATACCTATATTTAGTGTGTGTATGTGGGAGGTAGGGGAGGCAAGGGCGTGCTAAACTAGTATTGACAATGTTGTTTTCCTCTGGTGTGAGTGTTAGCGCTAAAGGTGTTGTGTTGTGTTTCAG